AGAATCCAAAGTGTGTGACATCTCAGGAAAAAAAAAAGCACCAAAATGTGCGCTGCTTTTCGGTCTGGTTACTACCGTTTATGTCAGAACCGATAGCGGTACCCATCCCTATTAAACGGTGTGCAGCAGTTTCTCTCAGCAGTAGCATTTTGATGTGATAAGTATGGCGTGGAAGTCTTATGCTTCATGACATTATTTGCCTGGTTATCCTTTACCATAAACTCAGATACATTTAATCTGCCCATACAGGGTATCAGACAGAAACTTCTCTGTAGCTTGCACTTGGTCGTTCTTATTTTTTGCACTGGAATAATCATGAGTGAATGATAATGCAAACCCATCTCTGGTCCTGCTGGTCCTGCTAGGTCTGTGTGTGGCCCTGTGTGCACACCTCACATTGCAGGGCAGGTTTGTTTGTTACCTTTGATTGTCATATCATCAACAACATTTTCCTATTTTTGAATGTCATCATAATGATAGTGCCCTAGTATTACACGCTGTGTCTGCTTAACATATCAACCCTTACACTGGTCACTCGCTGTATGCAGGTAGTGCTGTCTGTTGTATTCATAGATGTGGAACTTTGTGCCGTCTCTGTGCTGCATGGCATCTTTCTCTTTGTTGAAAGTCACATCACCCAACTGGGAAGCAGCTGCTTTCACAGAAAAGATGTCCTGTAACTATAAGGGGATGTACAGTGCCCGTTCACTGCACTCTAAGACTAAACTGCATTTTGCACAATGAGCCAACTTCACGCAGTGTGTCCTCAGCCCAGTATCACGACAAAACGTGTAATAGACACGCCAGCCCGCTGTGTCGTATCACACTTTGGAGAGGCAGAAGTTGCAATAAGTTGTAGTGAGCTGCAGTACCAGCAGAGGCTGATACTGTATTTGAAGCCAACATTAAAACAATCATAGGAAAGTGTTTCAGACATTATCACACATTTACATGTAAACACATATTTGCTGCGTACCATCATTGCTTCTGCAATGTGCTTAATCATACCTACCTTGCTCACTACCGACTTCTTGGCTTTGAATATACTGTCTCCCTCTGCTGGTAATGCCACCTCTGCAGCATGCATGCCCATTTCAGGTTTTGAAGAGTCAAAGCATAAAATAAACATCCATATCTTATTACTCCACATGATATCGGTTTGGTGTCTCAGTCTGGAAACTTAATATTTTGGAGCTTGGCATAATGATATGTAAACTTGCCCCCGTGTCTGTGATCAGACTCTTTTTCTGAGTGGAGCTTTGTATCCTTGTCACTTATCTGGACCTGGAAGCCACAAGTGACATTGAGACTGAGGAGGTCAGGGACCGCTCTGGCTTGGAGCCTCTGGTATGAGGACCGTGAGATGTACAAATGATAAAGTATTTAATAAGTGATTAAGAGACATTGTTTTAACATCTATTTGTAATTTTTAAAAGGATAAAGTCAATCAAGAGGATGCATACACAATCCTTCATCAACCGTTCGTCTGTCTTTAGTGTGTTTTTGCAGAGTTGATTTGAATCTCTATACTGGTCCTTAACATATTTCAAAGTTCTTACATGTAAATTTACAACAAGCCATGTGTCAGATGAGGATGTTTAATAATTTATGTTATAATGAATACAATGCTCACTTAGTATACGAGGTGTAACTACAGAGGAATCTGTAAATAAATGAAAAAAGGGAATTTGCCTTCCGGCTGAAGCAAACGTGTTTCCATCTTATCTCTCGGTGGATTTTGGAATTGTGCAACACTGAAACCTTCTAGATACTGAAACTCCAGCTAGTAAATCACACATCAGTCAACAGTCAAGATAACATGATTAGGAAACTCAGATACTTCTAGGTAATGGGACAGTGATGTCTATTTGTTCAAACATGAGATCCTTTCATCTGTCTTTCATGCATCTTCAAGTAGATTACTGACGCAGTATGACTTTGAAAGGCACATGCTCGCAGATGCAAAATCTCAAAAGCTTTTGCGTTCATTTGTATCAGACATCACTATCAGAGTGATCATAAAGTCCTTTAAATTAACATGTATACGAGTGTTGCTATTTGTTTTCCTCAGCCAGAATATATTTTCTGTGTTTATGCGCCGGCTCTCTCTTCCAGCGCTCACATGAAAACAGAAGCGTCGTCAGCACTTCCTTCCTCCACACCAACACAGACCTCAGTGAAGGCTGAGAATCCGAGGCTTGGGTGCATAAACCCTTCGCCCTACAGTGATCTACAGTGTCAGCAGCAGTTGCACTGTTATTTAGATGTTTTGACCAGTATGGATAAATGGAGACTCGGGTTTGCTCTGCTTCTGCTCCTCACTTCCTGTATGGACAACAAAGGTTTGCAAAACAGTTATTTATGTAGGATCGCTTATGCAGCGCATTGTTGTTGTTGTTTTAGAGTTAATCTATGTTAGGTTTTATTACCTGTATTTACCAGTAAATGTTGGTAATGTGCAAGTGGTAACTTAGCAACTGTATATCACACAGAACTGACTTCCAGTTTTACATATTTCAGCTGGTACGGAGATTCTTATGAAAATCATTGACAAACAACCAGATGTCACTCGAATATGCAGCAACGAAACGCTGAACGTGATCATGCTGATAGTGTGTAAGATCAGCACACAGAGGAGCAGAGGAGAAGAGTGCAGGCTGCTGTATCGACATGGACAAAACTTTGAGCATGGATGTGACTCCAGGTTCACACTGATGAAAGAAAATCAGACTGTGTTTCTCCACCTGACAAATTTAACACAGGAGGACAGCGGGAGCTACACCTGTGAGTGTGTACAGACCGGAGGAACATATAAGCTCCAGCTCAATGTCACTGTGGAAGGTAAACTGTGGATTTAATACCTTTTATAACCGAGCCTCACTGTATTACTGTGGTTATTGATAACTGGTATCAAATCAATCAACAAAGGTTTGTAAGAAGCTGGGGTCACCTCACGACTGCCCACATATCTTTAAAAAAAAGCAATTAAATCAACAAAATCTGCTGTTAAACAGTATAAACAATAAAATCAAAAATCACTTAATTTCAAGAACATATTATATGACACTATAGCAACAGAGGTTAATATCATGATGCTGCTTTATAATTAACTCATTAACTCACTGGTGATTTTCTCATTTCTTTTTCTTTTCTAGGCACTGAAAGCCATGAAGTCACCACCAGTCCTACAGAAATACATTTTAAATTGTCTTTCTATGTTTTAATTGGAGTGTTTGTAGTCTTAATCATATCTGGAGTCATCCTTGGATTTATATACGTAACAAAATGCAGCAGGTAAGAGATTATTATATTATTATATTATAATGTCTGTGAAGGTTCTCAGTCAGTTCTCAGTATTATAACACGGTTAGGGAGTATAACCATAGTATAATCATATTATAACCATATTATATAATCATATTTACTGAGGCATTCACAACATCTCATGCAAACTCTGTCACATATTATTTAATGTAACATTTATCTTACGCTGACGCTCATCTTATGGTCGATGTGGCTTTATTTTTGTAATTGTCCTGCACAAGCTCTTTATTTAAAATCCACATATGTAAAATAAATATTTTCATCTCAGTTCTAAGAAAATGCCGAATTTTTGAAAAATTTTTTTTGGTAAATTGTTTTCCCAGCAGAAGACGACAGCTGCCAATAACCAGTCCTGAAATAATAACTGATCCTGGAAACACAGAAGCGTACATGGTAAAATGTTGCACTTACTGCATTTTGTACCTGCTTTTCATTGACTTAGAACTTTTTACTAACTGAGTCTGTTTCACTTTACAGGCAGCGGGAGAAATTGAGCCATACAGTATCTTCATCCAAACAGAAAATGGGCTTTATTCAACTTCTAAAATAAACTTAAATCATATTACTTGAAATACATTTGATGTAAATTGAGGTATGAATTTGCAGCACTTTTATAATAAGTATCTATTTCCTAGTGAATAAACAGTGAAGCTGGACGTGCAATCTCCAAAGCAATGGTGCTTTACTATTAGTTTCACTTATTGTTGCATTAGTAGAAGTACAGTTTATTTTAATCTTTTAAGAGTAACGTTTTATATCTGAAACTTAAATATCAAGTCACACTGTCTAGAGTGACAAAATAGACTTTTATACATATTCAGTTTGTTGATTTCAGAGCTGTAATAGCTTTATAGCAATAATTAGATCTTGACTGATGCTGGATGTTTAAGATACCAATATTTAGTCATTTCAAACTCAGATATTTATTCTGGTGTTGTTGTCTTTGAGACACACAAAGATAAACAAATTTCCCAAACATTTTTTAAGGGTGATCTATATGTGAGTCCTCACTAAGATAACATAATGCAGTCTAAAACAAAATCCTGTTTTTTTATATTAACAGGTCATGGATTACTTGTTTGTTCTCTGCACTTTGTAGCCAACAGGGGATCTGCAGAGTGCAGAGTTATGGACAAACTATGTAACAGTCGTGGTTGAATGGTGTTTCTCCCGTCTCTACTTTTACATTTTTTTATTTATTAGTTAATATAAATACAATATATTGACTGATAGATTAGCTCAGCTGATATATCAGTTAATAAAAATAATGATAATCCAAAACCAAGTTATTATGTCAAACAGCGTCATGCAAAAATCTTTTTTGAGCCATGGTGCGAGTTCACTACGCTGAGATTTATAACCCACTTTAAACCGCTATGTGAAACAATAATTAGCATTTCCGCTTATCGTTATCTAAGTATGGGTTGTTGAGTGTTTCAGGGCTTTTTCAGTTAATGAGCCGTAACCCTGACCTCACACCATCGTCGAGCTTCCTGTATCAACTTCCTCTTCTCACAGACAGATTTTGCTCTTTTGCACTTTACCAATGTTCCCCACGCAGTTGGTTTTAAACAGGGACTCCCCAGCAACAACCACCAAACCTCTGTACACAAGTGCATTTTCCAGGCTCTCTTCCTGGAATTTAATATATATGAAACCACTGAAAAGGCCAACAGGAAAATATTGTGTCTGAAAGAAAAGGCCTTTACTGTTTCGTGAATTGTGCACGCATCTGTACATAACAGTTTTTTTGTTGTTTTTTTGTCCTGTAATTTAAAGCAATTCAGCTGAAAAAGACCCTAATAAAATACCTCATGTTAGACGCAAAGTTATTCCTTTACTTTTTTCTTTCTTTTTCTTTTGCATGTCAACTGCAAACAAATTTAAAACATTTATTTCTCAGATTTGCACGTGGTGACCAAAGTTGCACATAGACTAAGCCTACATAAAAACTTTTTATATTTATCCTTTAAGTCTGTTGAATGCCACCAGAGCTACAGGTGAAGAAAATGAAACTAATCACATCTAATTATTAATTTAATTATAACCTATCAGATTCTCCTGTGTCTTGATGACAAAGCATAGATACTTACATAATGTTACTTTACACATTTGGCATTTCTGAATGGTTTTTGTGTTGCCTCAACTTTTTGCATATCATGGTGTTTTTCTGGTCTTGCTGACTGAAGCACTTACAGACCACACACTGGGCTTTTTTATGGGCATTTTGTAGCATTTACTTGATGGAGCTGCAAAGAAAGTCAAGAGAGAGAGAAAGGGGAAATGGCACACAGGAAATTGCCTGGGGCATAGTCAAACCCAGGTAACTGCTTGTCTCTGAGCATGTGGGTCACTGGTTCAACCCAATGAGCCACAGGGGCACTTGTGCAGCACTTTGTACTTCTGCACAGCACAATCATACTGCTGGCTTCAGAAACTGTGTTAGTTTCACTCTGCATTATGCATAATTTTTCTAACATTGTAGCTTGCTCCCTTTGTAAAATTAGCCACTTCACTACCTTTTCCATGTGGACATGGTAGCACCGAGATTAACGAACCCTGGATTCATTTATGACGTTTATAACCACCTTTAAGTGACCGCTTAGCCTGATTGTTGAAGTTAGAGAGAGAAGCCACATAACAGAAAGACGTCCTGGGTATGTTGAACTTGTTTCATGGTGCAATGTCTTAACGTCACGGTCCTGGCATAACTTACTGTAATGTATGAGTAATCTGAACTCCATACCTAACTTTAACAACTTACCACAACATGTGCTTTACAATTTATAGATCAAAGTCTATCCACAAATGCACAGGACATCCATTAGTCTAGTGTTTTGACTAAACTAAAACTGAAGTATTTCACATTTTTATGATTCAGAATTTAACATTTTCATGGATTTGCACTCCTATATAGTGATGCTGTTATCCCCACAATAGCAATGGGAGCGCATTTTATTGAAAAGTTGAAATAAATATTTCTTTTCTGGAATTTTCATGCTCTGCAGAATCATTTAGTGGTTCACACTGGATGGGTCATGCACCACAGGTCAGAGATGGAAAATCAAGAAACTCAATCTTAAAATAAGGGTTGGCTTTTTTTCCAAATGAGTAAAAAAAGATACAAAAATACACTAAAAATAAGTCAAAATAACACAGGAAACAAAGCCGTGAACTCGGAAACATATGTGAAGAGCACAGGAGGAAAAGTGAGTGAACTGAAAACAGGAAAGAGGAGAAGGCAGAGTGAGGATACACAGCAGAGAAGCAAACACAGGTGAAACCAATGAAAGCCAGAAAATCCCAAAAGAAGAAGAACAACAACAAGAGGAAGTGAAACACAAAACAAGACATGAGAAAAACATCCTGAAACAGCAAGTAAAGCATATTTTTCTTTTATTCCATGAAATCGTGGTGATACTATACAACACATTATTACACAATACATTATACAATGCGTTATTAGACAGGTGATGATGTATATGAAATGTCATTTTATTTGTGTCACGCTGAAGATGTTTACATTCTGAATGAAATTGTCATGAGATTTGCTTTTAGACTAAACATCAAAGTGCGGTTCTGCTTTTGAAGGAAGACCATGAATGACTTTGTGATGTGAATTGTGAACCTTTATTAATGGAAAGTTTAACTTACACTTAAGTCTTACACTTTCTGAGAAGATGCAGCGTCACTGACATATTAAGGTGTTAGTTTGAGGTTTAGGCAGTAAAATCTGTGGTTGTACTTCCGCTTATCAGTTACACAAAGTATAATGTGTACAAATCCAGATGATGTGCATGCTCACTGAACTTCTTTGTTATAATATGGACTGAAGCTATTTACCCCTCTGTCTACAGAGGCTATTTATTGCATGCTATTTTTCACACATCTAGCTTGTAAAACTTAGTTATATATATCTATATATAAAAGCTACGTCTACGCAGGTCATTTTAGTACAGTCTAAATGGGGTTATTTTTGTATTCACGTGCTTGCTTGCTATTTACTTTTCAGTGTCCTACTATAGCACGCCTGCACAGGAACTTCCTTTTTTGAAGTGCCAATACTTTGATGTTCAGATAGTCAGAGAAGTATTAAAGTGGGCATCACTGTCCTCCAGTCTTCAGTATATGAGGTGGCATATGTGCGCTGCATTAGTGTTTATTTCTTTTATTGATATGGATCAATGGAGGCTGTGCTTTATCCTGCTCCTGCCGCTTTCTGGGTGTTTTGAAAGTGAAGGTAATGTTTTCTATTTACAAATTTGCAGCCCATCTTTCATTCACATCGAGCACAATTATCTGTAATTTTCACTATTGGGTTTGTTAACCCAGACTATATTGCACAATACATAAACTCTTAATTGATTGTTTGCAGTGACTATTATGAAGACTATTGGGAGAGAAGACCAAACTCCAGCATGCACCAGTGCAACACTGAATATTAAACTGATTGCATGTACGATCAGCACAGAAAGGAGCCGAGGAGAAGAGTGTCTCCTGAAGTATGAGACCAGAGAGGACTTTTTTCATGGCTGTGACTCCAGGTTCACGCTGATAAAAAGAAATCAGACTGTGTTTCTGCACCTGAACAATTTAACATCAGAGGACAGCGGGAACTACACCTGTGAGTCTACAACTGCTGATGGAGCATTTGTTCTGCATCTCATTGTTACCGTGAAAGGTCTTGATGCATTCTCAAGGAAGGTGAACGTGGAAGGTGAACACAAGCACAAAGGTAACACTGGGCAAACTTATTCCTTATTTTTCATGTGAGTTAAGGTGGTTACTTTCCACTGCTTTAACAGTGTTTATCAAGTGTTTCAGTGATGTGATATCCACGCTTTCATAAGAAGGTAGTACTACATGGTTTTTCAAGGTTTTGTTAGCGGTTAAAATTCATGAGGTTTTGCTTTTTATGTTCATTGCTGTGTTTGTAGCATAGTTTCTGCAGACAGAAACATCAGCTGTAATAAACTAGCTGAGATAATGTTAAGGTTTTTCTTTGCAGACGACGTCCAGAATGGTGGCGGCAGCTTAAAGAGAATTGTAATTTTACTCTCCTCAGTTGGTGCAGCCACAGTCTTCATTGTAACTCCATTTTTTTTGGGAGTTATCTACTGTATTAAACGTCACAGGTAAAAGACTTAAAAAATATTCACAGTGCAGATCTACCAGATAAAAGGACAGGACGATTTACTTATTTTATTTAAGAATGTAGAGTAAATCAAAATTGTATTTAAAGTTTTAGCTTTATTTTTGTGAATACGTGTTTCACTAATGATGTCGTTCTTTCTCATCCAAAATGGCAATGCAAGGTCAGAGACACCGGGATTATATATACATGAAACGCCGCGCATTTTGGTGAGTAGTACACCATCTGGCCAAAAGAAATAAAACAGTAAAACACTCTAATATTTGCTTGTCTGGCTTTAGCTTTAGTTACCTACCTTTAGCCACTTTTGGCAACATTTCAGTAATCTTCACAATATGTCACAGGATTTACTCACGTCCTCTCCCGCCTTTGTAAACATGTGAATTTGACCTTCCCCAGTATGCTATCAGTGATATCCCAATTCCCTTCAAAGACAGCAAAATGCACCACAGAGAAACCCAGAAACAAAACACTCAAGCAATAATAAGCAATAACAATGACAGGCAGTGTGGTCTTTTATGTTGTGAGGACACCCACACCCCCAGCAGAGATGGCTCTGCTGGGGGTGATGGCTCATGTGGTTCTCATCGCACAGGGTGGGTGATGAGAACCACATGAGCACAGAAACCCCAAATGTCCAAACCGAGAGAAGACCAAAGTGTTGTGGAGACCAGCATCCTGAGCAAGAAACATGCAGGAAGGTCTCCACTGATCCCCAGGGCACCCCGCCGAGAGCCAACAGAGGCCAGACAGCAGAAGCCAGTCCCAACCAGGCAGCATGGATGCCAAGGAATAGGAGCACACATGAGGAGCCGAGGGACAGCAAACAGTCCCAAAGCCCAGGAAGCTCATCAACTGGCACAAACAGGATACTACAGGGTGGGCCAGTTATATGGATACACCGTGATAACATGAGAATGGTTGGTGATACTAAAGTCCTGTTTGTGGCACATTAGTATATGTGAGGGGCAAACTCCTGAAGTTGGGTGGTGACCATGGTGGCCATTTAGAAGTCGGCCATCTTGGATACAACTTTTGTTTTTTCAATAGGAAGAGGGCCATGTGACACATCAGACTTATTGGTAATGTCA